AAAAGGGACAACTAAGGGGGGATATGACAGAGGTCTATAAAATCATAACTGGTGTGGGGAAAGTGACTAAAGAAACGTTCAACAAACAAAAGGAAGTTTTTCTTCATGCAGCGCACACTCAACCTGTGGAACTCCTTGCCAAAGGATGTTGTAAAGGGCAGGACTTTAACAGGGTTAAAAAAAGAACTAGATAAATTCATGGCTATTAGCCAGGATGGACAGAGATGGTGCCTCTAACTTCTGTTTGTTGGAAGCTGGGAATGGGCTTCAGGGGAGGGATCACTTTATGATTCCCTGTTCTGTTCATACCCTTTGGGGCATTTGGCACTGGCCAGTCAGAAGACAGGATACTGGGCTAGATGGACCTTTGGTCAAATGGCCCCAAATAACAGGGGGGATTCAAACCCAGATACCTCCTGTGCACTTTGTGGGGAATATCAGCGGCAAGCTCAGCAGGGAAGCTAAGGACTGAATGGGCCGTGGAGACAATTCCTCCACCTGTTCCTGGAAGTGGTCCTTGCACATCAGGGCCAGCGAGCTTTGCACTGCCAATGACTACTCTGTGGATACACCCAGGACACAAGGGGCCAGGGCTGTTCCAGTCTTGCTTCAGCATTACAATCACACACAGCCAGCTGTCAAACAACATTTACTTTTTACTATTGAATTTGGCTCAACAGTAAATAAAATCGCCCCCCATCATCCGCGTGAGATGGACGCCTTCCTAGTGCAGCTGCCCTGACTAACAGAGCAACATCACGGATGAATTTGGCTCCCTGCAAAAGTCTAGTTTCTAACACTGTCATCTCAGGACTCTTTTGCAACCCCAAGACAGCAGTGGCTTGAAAAGGAAGGATATGCCTGGCAGGTGAATGACTCGGGGTGGCTGAAGCACCAAACCAAACTGAAATGGGACTGGCTCCCAGACCATCTCAATCAATTCATTGCACCTTTGGCTTGGAAAGTCCCTCCTTGGACTACACAGAAAAGCTCTTTGCATGGGCCTAGCAAGACAATCATTTTAAAAGTGACCCCGCAAGGGAAAAAATTTGACCTGACTCCTACTTAACAGGTATTGTTTTTCCTTAGGAATACCAGAAATATCAAGTGCTTCACTTCCCAGATTTACCTAGAGATCTCCATGGATGACAAGAGAGCTGTGTGTGCATGCAAAGGGAGTTTTCTCAGCCCCTAATTGAAAATATGGGCCTCCCAGACATCTGATTAAGCAGCTGAAAACAAAAACTTGATCTTTAAAAATGAGTAGTCCTGTGGCACCTTAGAGACTAACACAAATAGACAGAACCACGAGCTTTTGTGGGTAAAACTCACTTCATCCGATGAACTGGCCACTGAAATAAAAATCACTTCCCCTCTCAGCCAATCAGATTTCACTTCCTGGAGCTTTCTGAATCATTATGCTACAGTTCTCCAGGTGATCACTGAGTCTTCAAGAGTAAACATGGATCTTAATTTTTAGAGTAAAAGACCACAGGTTTTTAAAAAGCAACAACAGAACAAACTGTTAAGCTTTTCTGTGCACAATACCAAAGGGAAAATGAACACTGCCGGATTTTTTTCTTTGCTTTGGTAGGCATCCTTTATCAAATCCTGATAGGTACTGCCTTCAAAACCCAATGGTGGCCAGAAAGGCTAATTCAGTCTTCATGGAAAATCAGCTTCCAACAAATGATCAAGTGAAACAAAGTGAGATTTGGAAGCTTTGAAGCCTGACACCCCACCCGAGCAGGTAGGATATCTTTACCCAGAGTGCAAGGGGGGAGACTTCAGAAGTGGGTTGTAATATGCTGAGTGCTAATTAATACAGAAAAATCACAGAGCCTCTTACATGCTCCTTGATCTCACTCTCACGATAACCAGCTAAGGAGAGTAATTGCCTCTTCAAACTTTGCCACTTACCATTCACGGTAAGGTATGAATTACAAGTAGTTTACAAGCCTCTAATCTCTGGCTACTCATCTCTCCCCCCTCATATACTATTTATAGGGTATTTACACAGTCAGTCATTTCAAATGGAAAGAAAGAACCAGGGGCCTGACTTCACCTTGAGACATTCTGCTGCCTGGGTGCTGGGAGCAGCATTGCCACGGCTAAGGGGAAAGTCAACTTTTGCAAATTCTCCACCAAAAGCAAACTTCTTCTGTGAGCAGCACCAGATGTGAAAGGCAGATTTGAAACAAAAGCATTGGCAATTTAACCAATGCTGTAAAACAACATTTTCAAACAAATGGATACCTTTCCCAATTGCTCTGAGCTGCCCATACATGTAGATCAGCAACGGGCAACCCAGACTAGCGAGTGGGACATGAGTGGTTTCCTTCATCCCCCTGGGCCGCAAGATCATTGTAACCAAGAGAGTCTCCCAGGGCAGGATAGTGTTGCTTCCTACACCTGCCTAGCTAGAATTTGTGGGAAGTGCCGAATGAACTGTAGCAGTGTTTTGATTGGAAGCAGAGAGCTCTCAGTCAGTGTTGTGCGCAATCAGCACCCACCTCCCTTCACGTGCCCTGGCTTTACGTGCGGGTCACTTTAGTAACACCGGTAGGGAAAAAAAAAGATGAAAACCAGCAGAATCTGGCAACCCTGCGTGTGGCAACAGTAAACAAAACGTCTCATGAGCTACACACAAAACCTTGATGAGCTAAAAGTGGCCCTTGGGCCACAGATTGCCCATCACTGATAACAGACGGATGCAATTGTGCTAAACTGCCTAATTCACAGTCTGTACTAACAGGTGTCTCATATACCTTGTGTAGCAAGCTGTGCGGGTGTTGGCTAGAGCATTCCACCCCAGAGGTGGAGATACTCATTTCAATGACACTGGACACACAGTGCACCTTGGAAAGCACTTTGCGCTCTCGAGATCAGGTTTGAAATCTCCAGACTCTTTGGAGTTTCAGATTCAAAGACCTGACAAGGTCAGTGTCAGAAGATACATACAAGTTCAAACTGTTGACTGTGTTGGGGTCTTTCAAGATGAGAGACCTGAAAAACTCAGCTCCTGAGTGGCCCTGTTGCAATTTGCTTAACTGATTTCCCCGGTGTCCTTAATCAAAGCGCTTTGTTCTAAATGGTGGTGACATCCACCCCAGAGGTGGCTGCATTTCAGAGTTGCTCTATGTTTACAGTTTGTCTATTACCCCTTGGCTTGGAATTTTGGGAAGGTGCTATATAAATGTAAATACAATACACACTCAGCCACAATCGGGATATATTTAGAAACAAACCTTAACGGATAACTGAACCTTCTTCACCTTCTTATAAGATCTCACCCTATGAGAAATTCAAGTCGGAAACTTTGGCACCAACTATCACGCAAGGAGTGTTATTTTGTTTTGACACCATCTTTATTTCAGAGATTGAACCACCAAGCTGTCATAGCAGCCAAAGATTTGTCAGGGAAGCAGCAAGGTAGCTCCATCTGAGAGGCTTAGCTTCTAAACAACGCTGTCTTGAAACGGCTATGCTACTTCTAGCAATAGTGCAGACGGGGCTGTATTCATTTCAACTGGGATTAGATTTTGTTTACGTTTGAAATCAAGATACAGACGGCTAATGGTCTGGTAAATTACTCAGCGGCCCAGAATGGGCTGCTGCAGTTACACAAGAGATGATCTGGGGCCAGCATGCAGGAGAAAGAAACTTTCGAAGAGGCAACTGGGAGAAGTGGGGACAAATATCAATAGCATGAGCCCTTGGAGAATGAACACAATCACACAATCGGTGATGACAAAGCCTGCAATGAGGTTAACGGAAGAAACACAGCCTCGATCCCCCTAATGATCATGTAAGAGCAGCAGCCAGCTTTTTAATATAGGGGACAGTTCCCCAGGCTTGCCCAACCTTAACCAATTATTCTCACAATGGCTTTGAATGGGATATTGAGACTGTCAGCCCGATTGTTCATCCTCCCAGCCATCCCCCAATTTTTGACAGGTTGGTGCCTCCATTGCTTAGTGACTGCTGCCCCTAATGCTGGCGATCAAAGAAGTCCCATTTTAGAGGTCATCTACATGTGAAACAAGGGACATTTCTGTGTGTGCTGGAGAGAAAGGGACTGCCTGATGGAGGAGGTTCCTGCCTCCTTTCTCACCACGGCATTTCCCTTTCATTCTGTCCTGCGCCTAATCCTAGGCCCTGCTTTAATTCCACCCCACCCCCGTCACTCAATGTGAATTCTCAGCGGCTGTATCTTAAAAGGTTTCTGGGATCCCTGAACAATTGACCTGCAACTTTTTGCAGCCTTCAGACTGGAATGATTCTCACTGACATTTATTGGAAAAGGTCTGCGCTGCAGGACTGGTTCATTTGCTATGGCTGGTAATGCAGCATGAGCAGGCATCAATGGACTAGACATACACTCTATGCTTGTCCTTTCCCACGAGGGGCCTACTGTACACACATCTGTCTTCCCACATTATTACCACAGACTCAAATCCTTCCCTCCAACAGCCACAGCTATTCCCCATCTCCCGGTGGAGACTGTCTAGCTACACTAGGACTTTTCTGACCTGTCATTCCCAGCGTGTGCAGTTTCAGCAGTGCAAACGGAAGTGCAGATAGGGCTCAGGCGTATATTCACAACTCTAAGTCATCTGAGTCTGCTTTGGCACCGGATCCTATGCTCAAAAAGCATGTATGCAACAGACTCACTAACATTCCACAGCATGGGTGTATCAGGATGACCAGCTGACTTTCATGCAGATAGAAGCTAACAGCTGTTTTTGAGTGAGGCTCATTCCTACACTTCAACTTCCAGCAAAGCAGGTGCTGTAATAAATGGTCAGATACTATGTGCTCATTAGTAATGCAAGTAAATAAAATAATCAAACATCATCATCCCTGACATTCTGGCCGCTTGGCGGAGTGAGAGGACCAGAAGGCATGCCGCAGGAAGATTTTAACCCCTCTCTTGCAAAAGGGTTATATCCAGAAATTACTCAGTGCTCTGACTACACATGGGTTACTTTCACACATACCTTGGCATGCTCATGCAGTTCTTCGCTGTTGGATAAGGTGGCATTGAAGGGCTCTGTATACTGATTGGGCTCTTTCATCTTCTTTCTCTCTTTCTTTGCGGCCATCACTTTAAAGAGAGCAAGCTGCTGGCACAGTAAAATCACCACAAGTAGCCAGATCCAGCCTGTCATTGTGGCTTCTTTTCAGACAGGGATGTTGAGAGGAGGCTGAAAACTCTCCCGGAGCAAAATGAAATAATAAATAGGGTTGGCTTTCGGTCACCGCTGCTGAAGATGTTCCACTCTGGTAGATGATGTCAAATTCTCAGCACACACCAGTGGGCCTGGCTCGAAAGAGATCTCGGTTCAAGTCGGATACATTGAACCCACATGGACCTATTTGTTTGCCAATTCTGATCCAGAGCTGCAGTTTGATCAGGCAAAGGTGGGAAGAGGAAGCGAGTTTGCTCAGCTGGGCAGAACTTTCATGAATGGAAGCAGTTTTGATTTCTCTCCTCCCCAAACTTTGCCTTTAAAATTTTACACCCCCACCCCAACAAGTCTTCAGCTCTCAATCACAATTCACTCAGCTAGGAAACCTAGAAAGTCAAATGGCTCAGGGCACGGGTAGCTCAGGCCAGAACTGACAGCACATAAGCCCATGAGGGGGGTTGTGGGTTTGTTCCTTTTCAACGGAAGATTTCACCTTCTGTCATTTAAACCCTTGTGCCTCCATGAGGTCCGTCCATTCTCAGCTTAGTAGTGGGACCCCTTCCTTAATGACAAGCCCCCATCAGTTCTCTTCTCCTTCATGAAGGCTGGAGGATGAAAACCCAAAGCTGCTACAATCACTCTTCTCCCGGAGAAGCAAAACGGGTCGGAATCCAACCAAAGGCTCAGTCCTCTAGGGAGAAAACTAATCTCTCCCACGCGTCAAGAGTTAAAATAGAAAGATACAAGGCCTCTGGGGAGGTATCTAGGTCTGTTAGGAGCGGACAGCCTAGTCCTAAACCAAATTCTGTCTGGCTTTATCTTTTCTTGGCTTTAATAAGACGATGAGGAATCAGCGCCTGTGTTGTAAACAGCTCTCAGAATATGGAGTCCTGTGCCTCCTATCCTAGCTCCTTTCCACCCCAGGCAGGATTTCAGGTACCTTTACGTTTCCATCACTTCTGATTTCTCTCAGTGCTCCTTTCCCCGGCTGCAAATTGGAGAAGCCCTCCTCAGCCTTTGCACTACCTCAGCAAATAAGTACTTCTTTCCTGAAAGTGTTTCCATCAACTTGAAGAAAGAAAAAAAAAAGGGGGGCGGGATCACATTCTAATGAGCTGTCAAGCCTATTCTCTTCACATTCCTATTAGAGACGCCCTGTCAGTGGACCTGGCCCTGTGTGCCAGGGAGATTTAAATCACTAACTCCCTCCCCCCCCACCCATACTCACACTCTCCACCTTCCCTTCACTATCTCAGAGGAATCGCAAAACAGCCCATGGGCATGTGGCAGCATTAGAAGTATGTGGCTTGGAATATGCATTCAGCATCACAACACGCATGCATCCAGATGTCTTTTACGTTGTTCAACTCCATGCAAATGTTTTTCTCCAGACCTCTTCGGATTCAGTGCATCCTTCATAAAGGCTGCGTCGTTCTGCCCCAGTGCCTCCCTGAGGAAGAACTCCAAGCACTTGGCATGCGTGTGTCGGCACGCTAGGGTAGCCAGCGCCATGCAGAATTGCAGCCCTAGTTTTTACAGCTATGGAAAATGAAACACTGTGTAATGAAATGGCACAAAGTTGCTGTAATGACTCCCTTTTCATGACTGGGATTCTCTCTCTGGTGATGCTACAGATTGGACCTCCCTGGCCTGGCACCCTCAGGACTTGACCGGTCCCAAATGAGGGATTGTGCTGAACTGGAGAGGTTATTTCTGGCCCCCCTGCCACTGGCCCCACAGCTCAGCTCCGTACCTGTCCCAGCCACCAGCCAGCTCCCTGCCTGCCACCTACCCAGCCTCCCTGCCAGCTCCCCCACCCTTCAGCTCCAGTAGATGGGTTCCCGGCCACTGGCCCCACTGCAGCCAGCCTGGCTGGGCTCCTAACCCCTGCAGGGCTCCTGCCGCCAGCCCTCCACCAGGACTCTCTGGTCCAGGAACATCTGTGGTCCTGCTAGACTATGGATATTTCTGACCAGAAAGTCCCAGTTTAGAGAGGTTCAACCTGCATTTAGCACGTGCAAAGACTGACCAGGATCCTTACTCGCCACTTTGCAAGTGGGGAAACTGAGGCATGGAGCATCAAAGCAACATCCCCCTCAAAAAAATCAGAGTCAGTGCCAGACCCAGGAGCACAAAACCAGATAGTTGAAACACAGCTAGAAAGAGAAACTAAACAGTTAACA